GAGGTCAAAGGTTACGGGAAAGAACCAAGGGGATGTATGTGGTGGGAGGCGTTTGGGGTGAGAATGCTGCTAACCTGGCCCAGGGAAGAAGAACAAGAGGCAGGACATACCTGTCCCAAAGCGAGAGGCCACCTGGGAACCGGCAGCAGGACGCTGGGGAAAGCTGGGGAGAAGGCACGGGTAGGGACCAACCTTCACGGCGCCAGCACCGGGCGCCAGGGCTGCCGCTTAGCAATTTGGGGTGGCCCGCTCCACATTTCTCATTTCAAAACCAGGTTTCTAAGAAGCCGAGAGCACAGTGATTGGTTTCTGGGTCCACCCACCCCACTCCAGGCCAAGGACACAGTCACATTCCTGGGCTTTGCTGTGCGGCCTGAGAGGGAGTGGTCCGTCCCACCAGGGAGCTGGGGGGAGGAGGGGTGGGGGGCGGGAGGATGTTCTTTGGGCCTTGGAAGGCACTGGAACCCCAGACAATCAAACTGGCTCAGGGACTCCCGTGGCAGCCCTCCAGGCCTTGCAGCAGGGAAAGCCACAAGTGGTCTGGGCATTGCTGGGCGCGGGCACCTGTGCTCCACAGTGAATGGGATACCGCCCTTGGAAAGGGGGGTGTGGGCAGCCAAGGCGACCCTGACCCCTCCAACCCCAGGATGGATGCGGGTGCAGGGAGGGGACAGAGGAAGGCATGCGCACCAATATGGACCAGCGGCAGCTCTATTGCTTGCCCCATTCACCCCAGCACCAGAGAGAGAATCAGACTCACACCCAGGCCCCACAGGCCGGTCTAATAAGGGCACGTGAGTCCATGTCCCCCAAGCCCAGGAGAACCCTCACAAAGCAACCACTTCCTGAAATCTGAAATAGGCCCTTCTTCCCTTCTCCCTTGGTTCTGTCCCTTGAATGAGGCCTCCAGGATCGGGACCAAAGACCACCTGGAAGCCATATATTTTGAGGAAGAGAATATCTAATTTGGCTCAAGACCAGCCAGGGCGACTGATGATACAGTCAAGATGCCCTGTACTCCACCACCTCTTCCCAGCCATGGCTCCTCCACAAGCACATGCTCCAGCAAGAAACACCCAGCTTGATCACAAGGGCATGCTCACCTTGGGAGGCATCCTCTCCCCAGAGAGAAGTGTCTCTCCCCTGCCCGCACAGCTCCACATCTGGCACAGCTCCACATCTGGCACAGCTCCACATCTGGCCGTCTGGCAAAGCCCATGCCTTGGGGGCCATGCCTGGGGGTCCTGGGACCCTAGCTAGCAGCACAGAGGCGGGCAGGCTGAACTGGCTACAAGGGACTCCCGGAGGCCAGCCAGCCCTCAGGCCCTTTGCGCTGTCATCCTGCAGCTACTTGCTTCCAGTAGCTGGACTCAAGCCACAGAGGCATTCATGGTAGTTACTGCCCCAAAGAGGCACCTTCACCTGGCCCACCCTTAGGGCTCAAAACTCACAGGGACCCACCCTCTCTGCCATCTCAAGGGTTACCAGTGCTGGGGTTGGGTCTCAGTCTCAAACTTGTCAATGCCCAGTCTGCATCCTTACCAACTACAGGCTGCTGGTATCAACGAGGAGATGGATGCAAACATCCAGTGCGTTCCCAGCCCCAATCCATTCTCCCATCTCCCTGGCATTGTGATCCGTCTCCTTCTTGCTACCCTCTCTGTTCCTAGCCTGGTTAGCTCCTTATCATGTGCTCCTTTGGATCACAAATGTCTCCCACCAGCCTCCCTGCTCTGGCCTGTCAAGATCCCAGGCAGAACTTACTAACGTGAGCCCCCACAGCATGGCGCGGTGCCCATGAAGGAAGGAGGGCAGGACAGACCCACCTCCCAGGGGAAGGTGGGGCTCACTTATGACTCCTCAACACCATCAGGCGCTGAGAGCTCCCTACACAGACGCCTGTTGCTCAGCTCTCATTTCTCCTCTGGGACAGCTCAGCAAGGTCACTGGCCATTTTTACAGGACGAGGAGGCACCACTCTGTGACAGAGTCCCATGTTGAGTGAGAGGGCTGCCTCCCAGGGTCCCTTCCCGCCAGTCTACTAGCTTCAGGGAGGGAACAGGCACTCCGCAGACAGTCTGCTTCTTGGGGAAGTGTCAAGATTACAGGGGTGACAACAGAAGTGACAGATGGTGGTGGGGACAGAGCGGACATGGGAGGGGGGGTGACGGGCTGGGAGGAGTGCCAGGTGTGAGGCTGCCACGCTGCAGCTTCTTCCTCTCCCTCTCATATCTCTCCTTTCCCCTACCCGACCCCAACCCCCCAGCCCCCACCCTTCCAACCCCCCTAACGCCTCCCTCTCCACAGTGTGGGAGCCCTGCCCCACGAGATTCTGACAGGAGATGGCCCTCCAAGGCAAGACAGGATTGGGTCCCAGCAAGGACGAGGAGCAGAGCAACAGTGGACAGGAATCTGATTGCCCAAGGAAGGCTAGAGGCGACGGGAATCTCCTGATGGCCGTCCCAGACACACCAGTCCAGGAGCTACTGACCGTACCCCACGGTGGATCTAGGGTGGAGCAGGACTAAGCCAAGAGGTGAAGGCCGCCGAGCCTGTGGTGTTTCCATCGCGCTATGTGGGGAACGGGAACCCAGCACACACTGGCCTCAAAGCACAACTCTGCATGCTCATCCGAGCCCCGAGTTAGGGGTTCCCAGCCCTCCAGGGATGGTCTGACCACTGGCCCAGCCTGAAAGGCAGTGCAGACCCGCCATAGCTCAATGAGATCAGAGCCTCATGGCCACTGCTTAACACCAAAGCCAGCCCTGGGGCTGACAGGCACCGAAGCGTGTTTCTGAACACGCCACACACACTGCAATTAACCTCCAATGAACTCTTTGAAAAGCATCAGTGTGGCTGTGCCTATTCCATAGCAAGATAAAGGGAGAAATTATTTTCCCAAGATGACAAGCCAGGAGAGGCGGAGTCCAGACTCCTAAATTCAGGCCCCAACCCCACCCAAGGTCTCCGCTCAAATCCAACCCTCCCTGGGTCCTCCCAGGAGTGTGACGGCCCCAAGTGCAGAGGGCACGGAAGGCATCCATCCGGCCAGCTGGCACGGCCACCCGGCCGCCGAGCTCAGGCTGTATACGCTTCCCGGAGTCAGCCCCCGCTCTGTGCCTCAGCTCACCATGGGGGAACACCCAAATCCTCCCAGAGAGCCAACCTAGAAATCCGAAGGAAAGGGCCTTTCCAGCCCGCCTGGCCGCTCGGCTCAGCCTCTGAGGACCATCTCTGGGCGGGCGGGGACGGGGGCCGGGGGCCGCTCGGAAGGGTGCCATATAGCAAACGTGTTCTCGGCTGCCTTCTTACACAGGGCCAGTCTTCACACCGACATGGGCTCGAGGTGTCGTCTCTCCTGTGTGGTGTCTTACCCTGTGCCAGACACCGCTCTGGACACCTCCCTGGACCCTCTCCTTGAATCCTCACAATAACCCTGGGAGGGATGTCCTATTTTTATCCTATTATTCAGATGAGAACACCGAAGGGGTTAAATTACTTGCCCGATGTGGCCAGCAAGTCAGGTGGTCCGATTCTGGTTCCTCTACATACCACTCCCACCTGCAAGACCAGCTGCTGGAGCAACCCCTGGCCACAGACAGACAAGCCTCAGACATAACTTTCTGGTCAGCTGGGCAGAGGAAAAGCACAGACACACGCCCTCACGGGTCTCCTGCCTCCGCTAAGCGGCAGGTCTGTGAGGATGCAGGCACTGCCCTCCTCGGGGACATAAATTCTCATGTGCTGGGCAGAGCTGAGGTGAAGCTCTGATTGACCCAACCTCTGAATCTCTCCTCCTGTGTCTAAACTTACTTAACGGACACAGTCCCCTCCCCAGTGGAGATAAAACACCCCAGTCTAGAAGTTATGAAACCAAGAGCTCCTGCTTTAGTGATGCCTATTTCCAAGTAGACCAACAAATGTATTTTCAGGTTCAAGGGAAGAAATTTACATATATAAATTCAGACGGCTGTATTTATAGCAGTCATTGCGTAAGTCCTAGCTCCCTTATTTAGCCCTAGAACCGATTCCTTATCAGTCACATATTCAGCATTCCCCCTCCCCACTCCCCCCAACCGCCCAGGGCTCTCCCTCCCCCGCCCCTGCCACCAGGCTCCCAGGCAGGCCAGAGGACATAGCTTCCTTCACTGTCACAGCCCAGCCTCCCAGACACACCCAGATCCAGCCTCAGACACCAGGGCACAAGCAGACACAGCCCCAGAAGGGCCCCTTCCCCCCGCTGAATTAGAAAAACCTTTAGGAAGTTGGCCATTGGAAGGCTCAGGCCCGGAGCCCCCCCTGCGGAGCCCTTCCTCCTGCAGAAAGCATCCCCCAACTGGGGCCCAGACAAACATCCACTGGGCCGAACTGGCACCGCTCCAGTTCCCGAGGAATGGCAGCCTCAGACCTGACCACTGAGGCCGATCCTGCCTGGAATTGCACCCAGGATTCCGTCGCTTGTTGAGGGGTGGGGGTGGGGGGTGGGGGAGAGTGGGAGTGAAGGGGGAGGAAAAGCAGGCGCAAGGTCTTCAGGACCCGATCTGCCACTGCCCTGAGCTCATCTGGAGCCCCCCCTTGGGTGCCTTGGGCTTCATCCTCAGCGATGGTGCCCATCCAACAGCACCTGCGAGGCCAAGGTTCTCCCCAGCGGCGCAGAGAGAAATGCCCAGGAACAGGAGGGGTGCGGAGTATCGGGGATCCTCCCTCCCGCCCCCGGGGTCCCGGTCTGCACTCGCACCTGGCCGGAGCCAGGCGGGTGGGTGTAGGCTCCTTCCTCCCCGCGAACGGGGCCTGCCCCTCCTGCGCCCGAGGAGGGCGAGCCCGCCAGCTGCCCGGCCAGGAGCCCCGGCTGATGCCCCGGGACCCCCGGCTGACGGACGCCGCCAAGAGCCCGCCGCGGTGGCCCCAGGCCGGCGGGGCGTGAGGCCCGCTGACAGCCCGGCCCGCGCCCCTCCCCGCGCCCCCGGCCCCGGCCCCCGCGCGCGCCCGGCCCGGCTCACCGAGCAGCGCTCCAGCTCCGTGGCGGCCATGGCGAGCTCCGCAGGGGCGCGCGGGCGGGAAGAGCGGCCGGGCCGCGGCGGGGACGAGCCGGCTGCTGCGGGACGCGCTCCGCCCGGCGGCTGCGGCTGAATGGATCCAATATGGCTACTTCCTGGAAACTCCCCTCGGCGGCGGCGGCGGCGGCGGCGAGAGGCTGCGGAGCCGCCCCCACCCCGCCCGCGGGACCGGCCCCCCCGCCCGGCGCCGCCGAGCGCGCAGCCCGCGCCCCGCCGCTGGGCCTGGCCGCCGGGGGTCTCCGCGGCTGGCGCGGCGGGAGGCGCCGGCTGCGCGGGCTGCTGGGACTTGTAGTCTGCGCGCTGGGGGGCCGGGGAGGGGAGGAATGGGGGGCCGGTGCCCGCCGGGCTGCCGCGTGTCCCTGGGCCGAGCCCTAGGAAGCCGGCTCCGCGGGAGGAGAGCGGGGTGCTGCGTGCGCCCCGGGGGTCTCCCCTGCCGAGCTGCCTGCACCACGTCAGACGGAGCCTGCAGAGGCGCCGGGACACCAGCCAAGGTGGCGATGCGCGGTCGGCGCCGGCTCAGCCTCTAAAGCCGGTGCCCTGACCCCCACCTGATGCTCCGGGCTGTCGGAGCCAGGGCGGGACCCAGGGCGGGACCCGCGCGTCCGGCCCGGCCGCCTTCCCGGGCCAGGCCGCAGCCCTTGGCGCCTTGCGCAATGGGAATGCGCAGGAGGCGAGGTCCAGGCCCGGGATTGGAGCGGTAGAAAGGGCTGCTGGATGGTCAAGACATCACTCTGCAAGTGACCATCACCCTACCTGCCCCAAAGGACCAGGGCAAACGTCTTAATGGAATCCGGGCAAAGAGAACCACTGCTCCCACTGCGTGTGCATCCTCCTCTGCTAATCTCACTAACCAAAACGTGCACAAAACTCAGAAAGCTAACAACACCTCTGCCCAAGCATTGAAGTTGTCAGGGGGTTCTGATCCTTTTCACTGACTGTCCATATACCATCCAGCTCCCAATCTTCTGAAACCCACCTTTTCTTTTCTCTTCCCCCTGTTTTTCTGTTCAGGCTTTGAGAATGGGGCCAGCTTTGCCTCCTGTTCTTCCTCTGGCCTGATCCACCCTACACACACACACACACACACACACACACACACACCCCACACCCCTGGCTCCCCAATATCTTCCTGAGAAACAACTGGCCTGTCCCTCCCATTCAGAAACGTGTGCTGGCTGGCGATGCCTGAAGACCACATCTGGCCTCGGCACACCTGGCTTTAAGAGGGTCTCCCAGGCCTTGCACTGGATGGTGTTTGCACCAGCTTGCCGGCAGCTGGCCTTCTCATCCCGAAATGGCTTTCCTCTCCCTTCTCACCCAGGCAACTGAAGCTTGTCCCTAAGGTGAACTCACATCCCACCGGACCTCTCTGGCTCTGTTTTCATTCCGTCCTCCTCTCCATCACGGTGTTCCCCGAGCTGCCTTATACGTACATCTACAAGAAATGCGCAGAGCAGTGGGTTAGGGAGCTGGACTTGGGCAAACCATCTGGGTTGGAATCCTGCCTCCATCCCTTGCTAGCTTTTAACCTTAGGCAATTTAGTTAAGGGTGCCTCCCTTTCCTCATCCCCAAAATGAAAATAATTATAGTACTTCTGTCACAAGATTAAGTGAGATAAAATAAGTGAAGGGCTTTAAACTATACTTGAAATAAAATCTCCCTCTCTAGACTGCAAAGGCCTTACTGTTGAGTGGATCATCTCAGGCCCTATCTTTTGTTTCTTTTCTTTTCTTTCCTTTCCTTTCCTTTCCTTTCCTTTCCTTTCCTTTCCTTTCCTTTCCTTTTCTTTTCTTTTCATATAACTGGTAAGAAATCCGTCCCAACTGCCATTTTCTGCATTACAATACCAGAGGATTTGCCCTAAAGTATCTTTAAAATTGTCTTGTTTCCTCTTAGTTGCGCATATTTCAAAATGTCTGCTTCTAGCAGCTCAGCTGATGGCCATGAGAACTAAGCACCCAGCTACAGCTGACTTCCTTCCATAGGATATGTATAAATTCTCCCTCTACTAGGAGAATTTATACATACTCCCCAAAATTTCCTTTTATTTTTCTTCTTTTCTTTTTTTTCTCCTCCTTCTTTCTACTCCTCTTCTGCCCCTTCTGCTTTTTCCTCTTCCCCTCCTCTCTTCCCCCATTCAATACTACTACTGACCAGAAGTACAGAAAGGGTATATCACCTGTGGGGACATAAAGGTAAATGCAACAATCATTTCACATGAGTCAACGTGTTATTTCTTATGGCAGCATTTCTAAGTGTCCCTTACACACCCAGGAGAAGTTCACAGATGTTACATACACACCCAGCGTGGTCCCACAGTTAAATAACAACATGTATGGAATGCTGAGTTCCACCCAGGAAAGGGTTTCTGTAGAAGTCCTCAGAGATTTTGAGCAGCTGCTATGCACTGTCACTGTGTTACAGGCAAAGGGAGTAGGCATCCCTCCTCAAACAGCTCATCGCTCCTCTGGCCCCACCCCATACACACCCAGCACTCACTGAACTTGACTATGACACACTTCACTGTTGTTTGTCTTTTACTTTGAGTTATAGTTTCTTTTCATTGAGTTTAAAATGTTGATGTTGTAATGTTTTTCTGTTATTTTCTTTATTGTTTTCACTATAATGCCTCTTTAAAAAATAAGATAAAATTAAAAAAACCTTTCCCCTCCCTCAAAATCATAAAGATATCCTCCTTATATTTCCTTTTAAAACATTAAAAATTTTTGTCACATTTAGGTCCATCAGTGGTTTGTTTGTGTGTGTGCCAAGGCAATCATTCCATTTTCCACAATGACCTACAACGCAAACAGATTCACAGACTAAATTTCTACATGAGTGTGGCAGTCTGCAGATGCGTTAGGATTATGTTCGTTTGCTTCAACAAGACAGAAATGCCTTTTTTTTTTTTTCATGTTACCCAGACAGGTAGTCTAGGGCATGTGACCTCCTACACACACCTTCTACGTTGTTTTGTAAGCCCTTGACCTCATGGTCCCACGTAATGACCTTTGCATTCCAAGCAGCAGGAGGAAATGAAGGTGATAAAGAGAAAATGAGTAAACACTCTCAAATGATCCCAGAAGCTGCCACATGGCACGTCTGCTTACATCCTGTGGGCCAGAGCTGGGAAATGGGGCCTTTATTCTAGCCGTCATGTGTGCAGCTAAGAATTCCACATGATGTGAGCAGGGCCAACATTGAGAGATCGCAGCAGCCTCTGCCCAATCTGTTTCTGGACTGTTTATCTGTTCCAATGAGAAGCCTGAAAATATTTTTTTTCCTAATATTTAAAAGTGTATGTTTACTTTTTGGAATGTTAAAATATTTTAAAATGACAAGCAAGAAAATATAATCAGCTGCATACCACCTTTGAGAATCAACTACAGAATGACCATTCTATTTTATTTTTTAAATCATATAAGAAAATTTTCTATGCTTGTTTGCACATCAGAGGAAATTTCATTAGGGATATTTTTATAAGGATTGGACCATAATACATATGCTATTTCAATTAAAAGTATTAAATTGAATTTTACTTGAATTTGAAAGAAGTTGAAGTGAAACTGAAGGAAGAGTTGAACTTCAAATAATGTGTCTTGACCACAAGAGATATTACTTCCTAAAAGATACCTCTGAGGTTAAACAGAAATTGTGAAAAGAATTAAGAGATTGGAGTCATTTTTAAAAATATATTTTATTGATTTCAGAGAGAGAGAGAGAGAGAGAGAGAGAGAGAGAGAGAGAGAGAGAGAGAGAGGAACATCAATGATGAGAATCATGGATCAGTTGCCTCCTATATGCCACCTATTGGAGATTGAGCCTGTAACCCAGGCATGTGCCCTGATGGAAATCAAACCGAGACTTACTAGTTCTTAAGTGCTCAACCACTGAGCCACACAGGCCAGGCTGGAGTCATTTTTTAACTATACATTTCAATTATGTGTGTATATTATTAGCTCCCATGATTCTTCCCATCTTTCCATCTCTTTTGACCCTGCCTCTAGTTTCTTATACTATCTGTAATAATAAAAGCATAATATGCTCATTAAACAGGACATCCTTGGGAAGATCTTCTGGATGAAGCCAGGGCTGCAAGGAAAGCCCGGGTCCTGGGTGCCAGAGGGAAGCCAGTGCCAGCAGCCGGGGAAGGGAGGTCTACTCTTGCATGAATTTTGTGCATTGGGCCTCAAGTTATCTTTATATCATCCATGTTAATGGTAATCATTTATGTTCTGTAAAAACATAACTGTATAGTTATGCAATTGCATTGTGATCATGAGGGGAAAATGGAATAAGCATTACTTAGAGTAGGGGTGTCGAACTCAATCAGAGAAGGGGCCAAAATCTAAAATCCAGCCTAAATCGTGGGCCGAATGGTTTACTGAACAGTCATAAACTGTCATTGTGATGGAAACGCAGCGGAGTGCAGTGATGACAGCGCGGTGCGGGCCACTTTGCAAGGCCTGGCGGGACGGATTTGGCCCGCGGGCCTTGTGTTTGACACATGTGACTTAGAGAGTCACTTAAAATTGAGTCAGGCTCTGGCTAGTGTGGCTCAGTGGTGAAGTGTTGTCCTGTACACCAGAGGTAGCAGGTTTGAGTCCTTATTAGGGCATATCTCTCTCTCTCTCTCTTTCTCTCTCTCCCTCCCTCCCTTTCTCTGGAAATCAATGGAAACATGTCCTCAGGTAAGGATTTTTTAAAAATTGAGTCAGGAGGCTGTTAGGTTACTGGGGCCTTCGCAGCCTCTGCATGGATTGTGCCTCAGTGGCTAAACTGCTGTTAAACTCAGCTCAAGGCTGAGTCATAAACACTCTGGAACTGCTGCATGGACACTTATGGACTTTTTGTCCTTCTTGTGGTTTTCACTTCCCTCGTTTGCATATCGGAACTAACCAATCCCTGTTAACCTAGTCAGCAACCCTCATTTGCATGAAATAATTACACTTGGTGATTTTTGCCTTTACAAAACCAGCCCTTCTTTGCTCTCTCCCCAGAGCAGTTTGGATTATTACCTCTATCTGTGTTGCACCTTATTTTTACTCAAATAACTGCTTTTTATTCATTATTACAGCCTAAACGTTTTGGGTGACACTTGG